ACCTTGCATTGCCTTGAAGACATTCCGCGAGTGCCTGGCACTAGCAAGCCCACATGGGTGCGCATCGCAGACCCCAACAACCCATACACCAGCCTTTCCAAGTCAAGCCAACAGTGCCTTACTTGGCTGGCGTCGTGCTTTCGACACTCGCCCATTCAGCCGTTGGCGCGGCCACGCCAGCTGCAAGCTCTGGCTGCCGCCGAAGATGAAATGGTGGGGATTGGGGGCTGGGCAATCACATCCTCCCAAGTGGTGTGGTTCGCCGAGACCTGGAACATGCAAGACATAAGAGCCGTGTGGCCTTGCCTTGTCAAGCCAGCACAGCGGTATATCGCATGCTTTGAAACACTTGCACAGTTAGCACTGCTGCAAGCAACCCACAGCCACATTGGTGGTGGGCACTACTCGTTTTGCATGCCTTCCGGCACGGACAATTCCGCCACGGAAGCAAGCCTTAACAAATTGTTCACGACCTCATGGCCGTTGCAACTTTTTGTGCAGTTAACAGCCTTCTGGGCTCACGCTCACAACGTGCTGCTGCAGCCAACGCACGTTCCAGGAAGGTGCAATGATTGGGCAGACGATCTCAGCAGAGGTCGGTTGGCCCGGTTCAGCCATCGCCCTGAAAGTCGCATGCGCTTCAGCCCTGCAAGCCTGGCGATGTCGGGCCGAGGCATTCAACTGTGTCCGATGCATGCGCCCTGGCGTCCGGAACATTTGGCAGCAGCTTCCATCGTCGCTGAGCCAGCCTAGCCTGCATCCGACTTAGCCTTCTGAGCCCATATCTGCCGTTGCCTTGTCAGCCAGAAAAACTGGCAATGTCAGCCAGCCGCTTACACAAGCCGCTCTGACCAGGAAAAAGTGCAGTCACCGCATGCCAAGCTGTTCACAACACAGCAAGCATGGTGACCCTAGCATCTGCCCTGCCAGGTACAACCCCACTCTGAAGGGCGGGTGATGAGGCCTTCGGCCCAGCTGGTTCGCTTTTACCGGGGTTGCCTGAAACACTGAAGGGGGGGTCAATGTGCCTCCTGCTCCAGGCGCACTAGTGCCCTGGAAGCAGTGCAACTTTCAGCAATCCCGGTAAAAAGAACTGCGGCCGCTTCGGACGAGCTTTGTTCTTTTGAGGTTTCATGTTTGGGTTCAAGCTAGGAGCAGTGCGACATGCCTTAACGCTTAGGGTTTCTTTTCCCTTGTGTTTAGGGCATGTGGTGAATCGAACTATGCGTTGGCCGTTTTGCTCCTAGCCTTGACCCAAACCTGCGGTTTCATTTCGAAACCCAGCCACCCACCCTGCATTGCCCTATGCCAGGCTTTGCCAGGATAGACAGCAGTTTCTCTGCACTTTCGTGGGTCGCCTCCGGGCACTGTGGTCTCCGGACTAGGTCTCCGGACCAAAATCGGTCTCCGGACCTCGAGTCTCCGGACTGTCGGTCTCCGGACCTTGGGGCGTGGGCACGCGTGCCGCGCCCCCCCAAGCACTGCATTTACCCGCAAGGACACGCATTGTCTTGCCTTTTCACATTTCGGGGGGTCAATGTGCCTCCTGCTCCAGGCGCACTAGTGCCCTGGAAGCAGTGCAACTTTCAGCAATCCCGGTAAAAAGAACTGCGGCCGCTTCGGACGAGCTTTGTTCTTTTGAGGTTTCATGTTTGGGTTCAAGCTAGGAGCAGTGCGACATGCCTTAACTCCACAGCCTTTCCCTGATACCGCGCGTCAGGTTGCCTTGCTCCGCCAAGAAGAAGGCGTTGCACCGCGTGCTGCCTTTGAAGCGTTGCGGGATCATCCTGCATTTGCTTCTCCCTGACACCTCGGGTCAGGTTTTCTTTGGTCAGCCAAGAAGAAGGCTGTGCGCCGCGTGCACACCTTGAGGCTTAGAGACCATCCTCTACAGCCCTTCCCTGACACCGCGTGTCAGGTTGCCTTGGTTAGCCAAGAAGAAGGACTTGCACCGCGTGCTTGCCCTTGAGGCTCGGAGAATATGCTCCACAGCCTTTCCCTGACACCGCGTGTCAGGTTGCCTTGGTCCGCCAGGAAGAAGGCCTTGCACCGCGTGCTTGCCTTAATCCTCTGCACAAGAGGCATACATGACACTTTTGGTCAATCCTGGCCGCGCTAGGATCGTGTCAGCCCGCCTGTTTACAGTCCGCCTTGTGCATTGCATTGAATTTTTCGGTCCTTCGCACCGTGCATACAGCTCTTGAGCTTTTGCCACTCACACTTCAGCCATCGCCCTGCCCTTAGCCATGGAGCAAGAGGACACTCTCGACGCCATCCACACAACTATCGCCAGAAGTTATCTGGATATCGAAGTGTGCCTGGACGAGCTGTGCTGCATTCTTGCCCGCATTCGGTTCCTGTGCCATGTCATTGCCCTGTGCCTTGTCGCCATTGCACTCTGTGAGGGCCTTTGGCTTTTCACGAAAATTTGGGACACAGCCCTTTTCTTCGTAGCCTTAATGCCTTGAAGAGTCACGACAAGTGCCCTCCTTTGTTTAGCACAGCCCTGGCATCAGTCGCAAAACAGTGCCTGAATATTGGTTTGTGTACAGCCACGCTCGATCATGCACTCCGCTTTTCAACTGAGCCAGGCCGCACACCGCTAGTCGGTCCAGCCAGCCATCGGCCTTAGCTGCACCACTTGGTCAGAGCCCTGGACCCCCTATGCACGCGACCTCGCAGGCACAAGCGCTCAAATCCTGTTAGCGTGTGGCATCACTTAGACGGACTGCCCGGATCTGTGCTGCGCCATCAATACTCGCAGCCTTAAAAAGGGACGAGTGCCTTGCCTTGCAGCTGATGTTTCACTGGCACCGAATCCAACTTAAGCTCTCCTTGCCGTGCCAGAGCCTTGGCTTTGCCCGCACCGCACACGAACTGCCTTGCTTCTTTGCCTTTGCATTCACAGTGCCCGTTTCGAGGCCAGCCCTTCTGCGCGGCCTGAGTCATCAAGTGACCCGTTGTTTGTTTTGCTTTGACAGCATTTCCGACATGACTCTGCTATGTTGGTGCAGACAGCTTGTGTTCAAGAAAATCACGCATTCTCTCTTTCATCTGCCTTGCCATGCCTGAGCCTGACCCCGAAGCCTTCGCAGCCTTCATGGCGAACTTCCAGCAGATGACAGCCGAGACTCAGCGACGGCTAGCTGAAGGCATAGCTTCCTTGCCTCGCCTTCGATGCACTCAGCTCAAGCTGAAGAGACAGAGGCCGCACGGCAGCCGGCAGACGCACAGCCTTTGCACGAGCCTTCCCCGGTCACGCCGGCAGAGGAAGAGCCATCAAATCCGCCTCCGCCGGTTGAGCTTTTCACCGCACCCGGGGCGGACTTTCTATCGAAGCCCTTGTCGCCCATCACAAAGCCCTGGGCAGATGCCTTGGCCCCCGATTCTCCTCGCCTTGAGCCGTGTGCAGATCTGCCAAAGCAAGCTGGCGATGAAGCGCCCCCAGTGCCTTCCGAGCCTTCCAAAGACGAGGAGATGCCTTCGGCCGCAGATGAAAAGCCCAACACTGCCCCAGCTCCGAAGGCCATGCCCAAGGCGCGGACACAGCCAAAGACGAAGGCGCGCCCTTCGCAGCTAGCACCGGACACGCCTTCCGAATTGGATACCGCGCCAGTGCCAGATCCGCCTTTGCCCTCGCCTTCCACCGGGCAAGGCTGTCACCCTCGCCTTCCACCGGGCAAGGCTGTCACATGCGAATCTCACGGCCGCAGGGAGGGCGACAGCGTTTCCACGCATTAACTAGTTAGACGCTAGCAAGTAGACAAATGTGCTAGGGTTTCAATTAATTCTTTCGCTAGCCAGTTCGCTGACTGAATAGCCAATTAGCTCACAAGCTACCTGGCTTCAAACAACAACATTTGAATTGCCCAACCACCCGGCGACCTACGCTGGGGCGAAAGCAAATGCAGTGAAACTCAGCAAAAATTGCAAGTCGTGGGGGAGGGGGCCGGGGGGATGGGGGGTTTGGTTGGTTGGGGGTAACAACGAACACAACATGTGTGTTGTTGAGAACGTGGAATGCAGAAGGCGGCTTCTGAAAACTTGCTAAAAAAGGACAGAACATGTGTTGTTGCAGACTACAAAAGACAAAGTGCAAATGTGTCCATGTAGTCCATGAAGCACGCAGCAAAGGAGTCAACATTTGGTGGTCGATGCCCCGAAAGTCTGCGGAGGGTTTCAGGATTCCAGTTGACACACGCAAAGCAAACATCATGTTTTTGTGGTCAGCACTGCAAAATCTACACACATTTAAGCACGTACTGCATCACTCGATGAAGTTCGCGAATGGTTCGCCGTTTGATCAAGTGTTGCGCCGCAGATTGAAGCACGCAACGGTTTTCATTTGTTTGCACTTTGTCATTTCCCAATTTGCGAATGTACACACACACACACACACATCGCGATACAGCCGCGCCCAATGTGCTCACTCCGCTAGAGGCGCGGACGCGCATGTGTTGAAACGCTAGCTAGAAAATCATCAGCGGTGCTAATTTGGAGTTTGACACTTTGACTGCAAAAGCGGAAGCTCCGGCAGCAACTTCCAACGCCAACTTTGAATCGCTTGTGATGGACATTCGGGCTCAAGTCGATTGAGACAGTTTAATGTAGTTGTTTGCTGAGCGGCCTTGTTAGCAAGTATTGTTCAGCAAGAAAGGTGGTGTTGGTGAGGTGAACAGCTCAGCCACTATAGGTGAAATTGTTAGGATTCTGTGTTCCCTTTTTGCTTGTTTAGATCTATCCCACGTTTGGCCGCCATGCCGCATTGTCCTCGCCATTGCACAAATGCAAGTGGAATGCGTTGCAGCTATCCATGACACTGAAGACATGGCTGTGCCTTGTACTGAACGTGCAACAAACAAACGCTGTGCAGCGGAAACCAAATTGGCGGGGGAAAGCGGGACAGCAGTAGACTTGGATGCAGGTGCCTCTTCTGGGCGGTGTTCCTCGAAGCACTGCCGAGGCTGAGCCTTTGCCTTTAATGCTTTGTGTGTGTGGCCATGCTGTACAGGCTGGCAGCTTGGATGATGGTATCGCGCACAGGCGACATCACAATGTTTGGCCCCATCAGCTTGCACCCGTATACCAAGCATGGTCAAGATCCGCGAATTTCATTCCAGCAAGCTGGCCAGCAACGTTGGGATATTGTTGCACGTGGCGACGACGCGCTGCCTGTACCTTAGTCACGCATCCAAATTATGTTTTCTTCATGCAGGAATAACCCGGCTGCGCACAGGTTGAGGATGCGACACCTGGACAGCAATGCGTGGGAAGTCGGGGCACGGACTACGTTCACTTATCGCTCCACATTCGCTAGCCCATTGTTTGTGATGGGTTCTGCCCAAACAGAATTTGCAATGGATGTGGCAGACTTTGGTGTCACAGGCGGCGTGCTAGCAACAATGGATGATGCGCGTGTTGGCCTCTTTGTATCCTTGCGGAACTTTGGGTGAGTGGACTCTTTCCCAATTTTGTCCAGATCTGCACGCTTGGACTTGCTTTTGGCAGCATGCAGCTGTGTCTCAGGCACAACTCCCTCCTGCGGAAAGGTTTCTCGACTTGAAGCCTCCTTGGCCTTGGGCTTGTTCCGCGGAGCACGCATATTTGTTTTGGAGCCAGGAACATCAGGTGCGCCTGTGCTTTCACGCGGATCTAAGCGTGCAGATTTGGCTCTGTCCATATTGTCGAGCGCATCTTTGAATTCCTTCCCGTTGTCTGACTTTTTGAGTTTTGGACCTGCTTTGCTTGTTCAAACGATCGGTCGACCAGAGCTGCAGCTTTCCTTGACCTACACTGTGGACTCTTCACCCATGCTTTTGGAGTTTTCTAGCCTGTCCTTGTCATTGTCATTGAAGGCAAACTCTGTGGACTTTCTGCTGGCAGCACATGGGAACTGCTTGGGTGCAGGGACATCTTGCGCCAATTCTCTCCACATTGGTGCCTTGCCACTGCCACAATCCTTGTCTCAGGTCGGGCCATTGTTTTCATCATTTTCATGTGGCAGGTCAGGCGTGCCGGTACTCGTTCCAGATTCTGTTCTTTCTGGTTCTTTTTTGCCCATAGATTTGAATCCATTTGGGCCAGTATTGCTGATTGAAGGCTTAGTCAGTCCTGCACCCTCCACACCTTCACAAGGATTTCAGTGCTTGGATGTGCTTCTGCTTCTAGCGGCAGTAAATGTGGGCAGCTTTGGTGGCAAAGGCGTTCATGTGGAGGCTGCACTGCTTGTAAGAGGAACGGCCTGTCTTGACTTCGCCCTGCTTGCCTTTGGACTTCAAGTTGGGGCCCCGCTGATCTTGCAACGTGTCGCGTGGGTAGATTTGCTTGCGTCCACGACGGCTTTCGCGTGTGGCTCCGCGACGATTCTCAGGTCTTCTGGCTGCCCGGATCTGTCCATGCCGCTGCTTGGTGGATATTTGGGCCTGGCTTCTACCTGTGAGTTTGCACGTGCTGGTGCCCCTTTGCCTTTGCAGAGTCTTGCTCAAATTGGTTTTTTTCTCCTGGCTCATGCCTTGGTGCTGGGCTCGCAACTGCCTTCACAAGGCTTCCATCGGATGGGGCCAACGGTGTCGGGGTGCGACCGTGTTCACTTAGACACCGTTTTGCCACTGCGTGCTGCGATGTGCTTGGGTGCAGCTTCATCCTTTGCCAACCATGCTGCAGCGGGATCAAACCTGGTGACACGAACGTTGGCACGCCTTGTCTTGATTTTGCCAGTCTTAGGCTTTCCACAGTCAGACTCCAGCTTGCTTCTGCGGAACTCAGCTCATGCTGAGGCCGTGGCACCCGTGCTGGGAACGGCGAGGGTGGGATTTCTGTTCAGGCTGCCTGTGCCAAACATTGCGCAGTCAGGTCTTCTCATGCTGCTGCGAGGCAGTGCTCAAGCAGACACTTTGCTTTTCGCTCTGTGTTGTGCACAGCCTGAAAGCCCATCAATTGTGCGGACACATCAGTGTCCAGGACTGTCAGCACTAGCGTTGGCAGCCAGGCTTGGAGCGCCTTTGTCGGCCCTCAGTGTTGCCAACGTGGGTGTAGCCGCAGTGATGCGAAGCCTCCTCCGTATAGGAACGGCATTTGCTGCGGCCGACGTAGTTCATGTGGAATTCTCAATACTTCTTCACAGCTTCTCACATGCGGCACTTGCAGTTCTTTCCCCTGACGTATCACGCCCGGACTCAATCCCGCTGCTGCAGCACTTTTGCCGATCTGAGGCATTGATTCCTCCTCTCGGCATGGCCTGTATTGAGCCTTTGTGCGCTCTATTTGTTCAAGAATCGAACTTGGAGGCCTTGGCTTTGCTGAAGAGCACTTGCTGCTCGGACGTCTCAGCACCAGCTTCGGATCCTTCTGGGGTGGACTTGCCAATGTTGACTCGGCATCCATTTTCTGATGCGTTCCCGCTTGTTGCTGGCTTGGCACGGCTTGCCCTCATATTTGCCCTGTCGGCCTTCGATGGAACGCGACTTGATTTTTCCTTATCAGCCAGAAGCCTTCACTGTTTGGAGGCTTCCTTGATGCTTGTTGCTTCACAGCAGCTTGGCTCCTGCCTGCCACTGCAGGCCATGGTGCGAGCCGAGCTGGCACCAATGTTCGGTGGGAGTCCTCGCTTGGACATGTTGCTTTTATCGAACGGGTTTGTGGCTCACTCGGATTCCGCGTTGCCATCGCGCAGCATTTCCCGCCCGGGAGGCATAACGTTTGCCCCAAACTGCGCGCGTGCAGCCACCCCATTGTTTTTGCAGGCGGCTACTTGCCTTGGCTTGCCCCTTTTGACAGCAAACGCTGGTTTTGGCGCCTTTTCGTTCCTTCAGACCTCCGCGCGTGTTGGCCTCATACTTTCAGCTGCTCGGACTGGGCATGTGGGCTTCACTCTTGCCTCACGGGCCCCTGCGCGCTTTGGATCACTCGTGCCAGCGTTAGACCCTTTGCAGACGGACCCGTTGTTGCCTTTGCGAGCACTTGCACGCTCGAGTTCCAGCCTTGCAGCAAGTGCGCAGGTCAGTTGTGGCAAGAAAGTGGTCAGTGCAGACGGTCAGGTCAGAGCTGAGGTGACTGAGCAAGGTGGATTTTTCAAAGGAGATTGGGCTTTGCCTGGAGCTCTGGCGTATTCTGTCAGCTCGTTTGCATACGTTGGAATGATGGCGCTCCTGGATTCTTACAGCCTCGGCCCTGCAGCACCTATCCAGAGACATAATTGTTTGGCATTTTCTTCGCCCACATGCAACAGTTTTTGCTCGGGCGAAACACTTTTGTCATTGGACTTTGCCTCCCTTGGTTTGTCCCTGTTGGTTCAGTCTCCGAGCAGGGGATTTGCACCACTTGTATGGGAGCTTGCTGCTGTTGAATTCCTGCTGTCTCTACATGCGCCTTTCTGCCTTGATCTGCCGACATCGTGCGGTGGGCTGTCACGTGCGGATTCAGTTTTTGCTCTGTTTGCCGTGGATGTGAGCCAACTGGACTTTTCCTTTTTGGCAAAAGCACTTGCCTGAGTTGGGCCATCAGTGCCAGCATTCACCTCGTGCAATTCCGATTCTCTCCTGCTTTTGCAAGGTGCCGCTCGTCTGGATTTTGCATTTTCTTTGAGAGGGCTGGCTCAGCTGGATTTCTTGTTACTTGTTGTGTCCTCACACGTTGGAGCACTATTGTTGCCTCGCAGCTTGGCTTGTGGCACTATTTTGCCACCTCCAGATGTTGCGATGCTTGAGGCATTTCTGCTTCTGAGAGCATGTGCTAGAGCGGGCGCGTCAGCTTTTGCATTTGGCCTGCTGAATTCTGACGCTTCCTATTTGCCAGCACTCAGGTGTGTTCATCCTGATTCCGCACTGCCCCTCCATGGTCTTGCTGTACTTGAGGTTTCTTTATTTGCCTCGGCCTGCAGCCAGTCAGGCGCTGCTTTTTCTCTGCATGGTCCATCTTGCTTGGAAGTCGGCATGTCTGCAAGAGGAGCCGCTGGGTGTCGAAAAATGGCAGTTCCTGACATTTGCTCCATGGGTTTGACTTTGCCAGCCAGGAGCTCCACTTGAACTGACACTTTGTCGCTTGCTGTGAGCGCAACTTGTTTGGCCTTCTTGCTTTTCCTGCGCAGCGTTGCTCATCTTGAAATGCTGATGCCTGCGTCGGGGACGGCTTGTGCAGATGCCATTCTAGCAGCAGCCCAGACTGCACGTACCGATTCTTTGTCAGTGGTAAGGAGTTGCACTCGTTCAGATGTTCTGGCGTTGGTGGCGGATTTCTCCTTGGCAGACTCCACCTTGACTGTGCGATCATCCACGCAATCTGGAACTGCTTTGGCTATCGGCATGCGTGCTGAGGCCATCAATTTGTCCCTTGGCGACTTTTGCCGATTCGATCCCTCTATGTTTCCGCAATCATTTTCGTAGGCAGGATCATTGACTGCTACAATGGCTTCGTCTATAGGTGCCTTGCTTCCACCGAAGTCATTGAGCTGCGGCACGTCAATGGCGGCGTCCGATGATGTCCGGCTAGATCGCATTTCGTCCGTTTGTGATTTTGCCCGCTCTGGACTATTTCCAGCATTACGGGCTTGTGCTCGCTTTGGACTGTTCATGATCGTGCTGTCTTGGGCTAGCATTGGCTTCCTGCTGCTGGTCCGGTGTTGGGGCGTTGGACATTTCCTGCCTTTGCTTGGCGTTGGACAGCTCGCCCCCTTCCCTTCTATAATGTCATGCGTCACTTTGTATAGCCTGCTGCCGGTTCAAAGCCACGCCCGCCTATCATCACTCCCCGCGCTTGGCTTCTCAGGTGCCGGCCCTTCTACCTTTTTGAGAGACTTGAGTTGTGCAGGTGCAGTTTTGGTCTTGTTGGGGGGTGCCGGGGCTGGCTTTTCTTCACTTGTCTCGAGCTTTTGTGGCTGTGGTTTTTTGTTACTATCACAAGGCTTCAGCAAAGTAGCACTGTTGATTGCGGTCCTGGCCGGCGCGAATTTGGAGCCATCTCCAGCACTGAAAGGAATGACACGACCAGGTGTTGCGATGAGCTGTGGCCTCCTTTTCGCCAGGCTTGAGCGCACGCCGCTTGCTTTAGACATCACCTGTCCTGGCGCTGTGATAGTTGCAAGGGATTTTGCACACCTCGGCTCCCTCCTGTTGGCACCTGGAGCGTGCTTGGGCCTGCTGCTGTCGCCTCGCAGTGTAGGCCACTTGGGGCTTTCTCTGCCCAATGGCGGTGCTCGCCTCAAAGCACCTTTGCCAACTCCGGGCTACACTTGCATGAGCTCGGCTCTTTCGCCAAGGGCTCCAAGCTATCTTGAAACACTGGTGCTTGTGCCTTGTTCCTTTGGTGCTGGTGCCCCATTGTTCCTGCAGTCCTGTGTGGGTCCGGAGCTTTCGCTGCTTCCCTTTGGCTGTCTGGATTCTTCATTTGTTGCTCCGGACCTTTCGGAAAGCTTCCCTTCACTGCGATCGCTTGCTCAGATTGACCCTCCGATGCTTGT